GTTCCTTCCCAGAGAGCCTAAATGATACTAACATTGTTCTTATACCTAAGAAGTCAGTACCTGAGTTGATCTTAGGCCGATAGCTTTGTGTAATGTGGTCTACAAAATTATGGCTAAGATGGTAGCTAACCAGATGAAACCACTTCTTGGAGGTCTTATTTCTGAGTCCCAGAGTGCATTTATTCCAGGAAGGCTTATCACGGATAATATTCTTATATAGCAGCGGAGGTAGGTCATTATCTTAATTGCAAACAATGTCGTGTGATTAGTTGGGGGGCTTTGAAGCTAGATATGGCAAAGGCTTATGATGGAATGGAATGACTTTTTTTGAAGAAGATGTTGGGGGTTCTGGGGTTTGATGGTTGGTGAGTGGAGTTGATTATGCTATGTATGACCATTGTTTCCTACTCTGTTAATATCAATGGGGTTAGCGGTGGACGGATTATCCCTTCTCGTGGTCTCAGGCAATTTGATCCTATTTCTCCCTATCGGTTTATTATATGTGCTGAGGGTCTATCCTTTCTCTTACAGAATGCCCAGGATCGTGGTTGTATTCATGGATGTAGGGTGGTCAGGGAAGCCCCGCCTATTTCTCATTTATTCTTTGCAGATGATAGTCTTTTATTTTTCTGAGCTAATGCCCAAGAAACAGGTGTGGTCAAGCAATGTTTGAACACTTGAGAGTTTATCAGGTCAGGCTGTTAACTTCCATAAGTCTAGTATTTGCTTTAGTAAGAATACTACTGAGGAGGTCAAGGAGGAAGTGGCCACATTGTTAGGGGTGGTCCAGGTTCCTAATTTTGAAAAATATTTGGGTCTCCCATCTTTTGTAGGAAGGAATAAAAGAGTTGTTTTTGCATATATTGAGGATAAGATTAAACAGATTGGTTCCTGGAATAAGAAATTGCTTTCACAGGCGGGTAAGGATGTTCTCTTGAAAAGTGTGACTCAGTCTATGCCTACCTTTTTTATGAGTGTTTTTTGCTGCCTGATTTTGTTTGCTTGTGGATTGAGAGGACTATGAACAAGGGTGGGGTGCTGGTAATGACAGGGGATCCATTGGAAGGCATGGGACCGGGTTATGTATCCCTAAGAAGTTTGGGGGTTTGAGATTTAAGGATCTCCGTGCTTTTAATTAAATTGGCTATGCTAGGGAAACAAGCTTGGCGGTTCTTGACTACCCCTCAGTCTTTAGCTGCTAGGATCTATAAGGCTCGCTGTTTTCCTAAATCCACATTTTATGAGGCAACTCCGGGTGCCTAAGTTTCTGTTGGCGCAGTATTATGGCAGCACATAGACTAGTTTGTGGTGGTCATTTTATGAGGCAACTCCGGGTGCCTAAGTTTCTGTTGGCGCAGTATTATGGCAGCACATAGACTAGTTTGTGGTGGTATAAGGAGGAGAATAGGCAATGATAGGGCTACTTTGATTTGGGAACATCCTTAGCTTCCGGATGAGCCCCCCTTCCCTATTAGCCAAGTCCTTTAATTCAAACTGGTATGCCTAATGAATTTAGTGGAACTTTGGTTTTTTTATCAAGAAACTAGTACTTGGGACCCCTATATTTTATCTGATATTTTTTACCCCAGAATGTGGCTCGCATTTTTAGGATTCCAGTCAGTCCAGACTATGATGATTCATGATTTTGGTATAAGGATCCTAGGGGTTGTTACACGGTGGAAGGAGGTTATAGGCACATTATTGGTAATTATGAGGAGGCCTTGGGGGGTTTTGATAAATGGATTTCTATATGGAAGCTACATGTTTCCCTAAATGGAAGATTTTTCTCTAGAGAGCTCTTAATGATATTCTTCCCACCACTTTGAATTTGATTTTAAAGAGAGTAGACATTGATTCAACATGTCCAAAATGTGGTATTGAACATGAAAATGTTATGCATGCTTTTGTTTTGTGTGAATACTCTACCCTTGTTTGGCATGAGTCTTCCATCCCCATCACAAGTTATATATGTAGCCGATTCCTTTCCCATGTGGATGCGAAATATTTTGTGCATTTTGCCTAAGGATCATGTTGAACTTGTCGTGGCAGTGCTATATCAGATTTGGTGGGCCAGGAACCCGTCCATGTGGGAGATGTCTTTGCCGCTGCCGGGTACGGTTTGGAGGAAAGCTGCTTCGGCGTTGTTGAGTTGGAGACAAGTGCATTAGCGAAATCAACAGCTGCCATGCATTGCCGTGCCGCCACAGCCTTCACTCCGTCCCAGGTGCTACGTCGATGCAAGTTTCAGGCATGCTACGGGGACGGCTACTTATGGAGTTGTGCTACTAGCTCACGATGGTCGCTTCTTGGCAGCGTGTAACGGTCAGCTTCCGGATTGCTTCTCGCCCCTTATGGCTGAAGGATCGAAATGTGGTTGTGGTAGACTTATTCACGGATTGTTCGGAGCTTCGTAGCAGCCTATTATCAGCAGAGGTGTCGGCCCTGTCCTATGTCGGGATTATTATTGATTAGTGTAGAGCCATTATGGCCTCGTTTGATTACTGTTCTGATCTGTTAGTTTAATTTCTAGAGCTTTGAATTTACATGCTCATACTCTTGCTGCAGCAGCCTTTGTTCAGGCAACTTCGCTGTACTAGGACTATGTCCCTCCTGACTCTATTGTTGCTTACATTCATTAATATATTGCAACTTTATATTTCAAAATAAGATAGATATACAACACTTGTAATTTCTGGCACTGTTTCATTTCATAATTTGAATGCATAGTTTAAATGAGTCAAATCCTCTATATGTATCTATCTGCTTTCTTGACTTAATGTAGTTGTCGCTGCAGATGATTTCATAATGTTTCATTCCCAGATTGGCAGATTTCACATGTATTTGAAGAAAATAAAAGACACTCCAGATTGCAACAATGGACTTTTCACAAATTTAAAAGATATTTGAGAATGAAATTAGTAATTTTGCAAACTGCAATTACAATCAGTAAATCCAAGCACCTGATACTAGCCAGAAGAGGGTGGACTACTTTGAAAAATGATGGACCAACAATATAAAAAATGATGGTCAATTACAAAGAAAAAACATTCAAAACATTCACAAGCGTTGGCTAATTAAGCATACCCCACTTTGAAATAATTCAGATTTGGAGTATAGCATTTCTAGAGTTTCAAAATGAGTTTTATACAAGTTTTTGTGTGGTTCTCTATTAAGAATGTGGTTACTAGAAAGAACAATTTTCCCTACAACGAATTAGGAGAACCAGAACTCATGAGCATTATATTGTATTCATCATCTCTTCAATGGTTCAATTTTTCCGTTCAACTACACCATTTTGTTGAGGGGTATAAGGTATAAAAACCTCATAAATTTTGCATGCTTTTTCACATACATTTTCTAAAAAACTTGTTCCATATTCTCCCCCTCCATTTGAATGAAGTCTTTTAATCTTATGATGTAGATGGTTTTCTATTTCTGCCTTAAAAATAAAAATGTTTTTGTTCATCTTCGTCTTTAGTTATCATTTTTGAGTACCAAGAAAAATCATCAATAAACATAAAATACAACCATTTCTACCTTTGAATTTTGTTTTTTAACTTTAAAATTAGCTAGATATATTAGTGTGAATAAATTCTTGTGGGCTTGTCAATGTCCGTGTAGTCTAATGGTACTAAGTTGCTATCTCATATGAGAGGTTATGGGTTCAAACTTGGGCACAATATTGACTCTTTGTGCTAGATACTATATTGTATCAAAGTCTATTTAAATATCAAATACTATATTGTATCAAAGTCTACTTAAAAAATAATAATAATAATAAAATCTTGTGGACTTGTATCTCTTTTGATTACAGTAGTTTTTTTTTTTTTTAGCATTATTTGCTTCAATACATACTTTACATTAATTTTAAAAAAACTCATTCAACATTTTTTGTTCCAATGCACTCCCCATGGCGAGATATGACCAATTTATAAGCTTAAAAGACCAATTTAATTCCGACATTGATAAGGCACCGAATTTTGTGTTTTTGGATGATACATTGAAAAATTTCTAGATTAAAAAACTAAAATAAAAAATTTGAAAGCCTAAAATCCTAACTTATTTGGTATTATCAAAATCTAAATTATATATTTTAACATAATAAACTCCCAGCACGGGTTAAAATGTTAAAGAGAGGAAAATAAAATGTTGAAATAAGGGTCAAATTGGTCACTGAACGTAACGCAAAAGTGCAATCAGGCCACCGAACAAAAAAAAAAGTGTAATTACACCATTCAACGGATTAAATCTATGCAATTTTACCTAGCAGCCTGTTTTCTCCCCTCTTTTCCGGTAACTTACTTACGTGGAGTATGAGTTGGTTTTTTTTTTTTTTCATATTTTATTTTCTTCCTTTTCTCTTTGTTCTTGAAGTTGTCTTCTCCATGTATGTGCTTCCATTTCTCTTTGTTCTTGAAGATGTCTTCTCCATTGGCATATGCTATTCTCCTTTAGGGTGTGTTTGGAAACCCGGAAAATGATTTCATTTTCCGGGTTTTTGGTGTTTGGCTAGGCTGGAAAATGAGAAGTCAAAGGAAAATGAGACATGGTCAATGGAAAATGAGTTCAATTTTCTGAAAAATGACTTCCCCTTTTTTGGGGGGGAAGTCATTTTCCGGAAGACTTCTTTGGCCTACAACAACAACCACCTTCGTCTGTCTACAACAACAATTACCGTCATCTCCGTCTACAGCAACAACTAACACTGAATTCCCCCCAAATACTGTTCTCTGGTTTCCGCCGGAAACCAGAGAGCAAGTACTGTTCTCTGGTTTCCGACGAAACCAGAGAGAACGGCGGAAAACCAGAGAGTTTTACTCTCTGGTTTTCGTTTTTTTTTTTTTTTTTTGGTTATTTTTTAAAATTTTTTTAGTAAACATTATTGTTATTATTGTAAATTTAATATTATTATTATTATTATTATTTATAATATTATTGTAAATTTAATATATTTTAAACAAAATAATTAATTATATAAAATGTTTAATTATACAATTTTACATCAATTTCCAGAAAATGAGCCAAACAGACAAAGACAGTTTTCTATTGTGCAACCAAACACGAGAAAGGAAAACGTTTTCCGGAAAATGACTCATTTTTCGGAAAATATTTTCCAGAAGTCATTTTCCTGCTTTCCAAACGGACCCTAAATTTCTTCCTATTCTCCGTTCCTTCCCTCCAAAACCTTTCGCCGGAAACCTTAAGCCTCTCTATAACTGTCCACTATGTCTCCTCCCTCAAACGCCGCCCAGGTTAGCTCCCTCGTCGTTCATAACCGCCTCCTGTAATTTGGTCCTTATTCCTTTTCAAATTCCTTTGTTTTCCTTTCTTCCAGCTGTAAGAAACAAATCGGCAGTCTAAGAAATCCCCAAATTGCTTCAATTAGAAATCACCAAACCCTTTGTTTACGCTTGCTTCGCTCAGAACAAGGAACGGACGCGCAGATCAGTTTTCTTGGATTTACCTCCCAGCTCAGTCGTGTTCCTCGCCAATAACTTCATCTCTATAGTCAGCACCGCCAATTGCTGTATCGCGACCTCCAATTCCGCACCGCCAATCGCCGTATCGCCGCACCACCAATTCCGCACCGCCAATCGTTGTATCGCCGCACCACTGCGCCTCACGCTTGCTTCTTTGTATTGTTTTGTGGGTTTTGAGGATTATGGGTTGAGGGTGGATTTGGGTGAAATCCTTTTGGAACTAGGAATTTTCCATGAGATTGGAAATAGGATTCTTGTGAAATGGTTGGGGTCAAGAATTCTTGAGTGTAATTTCTTCACCTCCGGAGGGAACCACTGGGACACTTGAAATCTCCTCTGCTAATTTTCTTGTATATTTCCATGATTTTTTTATTTTTATTTGTTTTTTTCAGATTTAGCGTTGGGCTGCTTCTGGATCAAGTTCAGAGGTTAAAATCGGTGGCTGGAGAAGACAACTTCAAGAACAAAGAGAAAAGGAAGAAAATAAAATATGAAAAAAAAAAAAAAAAAAGCCAACTCATACTCCACGTAAGTAAGTTACCGGAAGAGAGGGGAGAAAACAGGCTGCTAGGTAAAATTGCATAGATTTAATCTGTTGAATGGTGTAATTGCACTTTTTTTTTTTTGTTCGGTGGCTTGATTGCACTTTTGTGTTACGTTTAGTGGCCAATTTGATCCTTATTCCTAAAATGTTTGAATCCCAGCAGCGAAAATGTTTATATCATTTTCTTATTGCGGTAATATATTAGACATAATTAAATTTAAAATAGACAACACAATTGTTGTGGTCCACACAATTATGTAAATCATAAATATCATATACATTTTTAATATATTAAAAATACATTATTTTTGTATTAAATGTACATTATATAAAATAATGTACTCTTAGTATATTAAAAATGTATTTTTAAAAAATATATCTTACGTACATAAATAGTGTACCTTTAGTATATAAAAAACGTACTTTTTATTTATAGTCCACACAATTGTGTGAATGGTCTATGTAATAATGATTGACACAACTCTGGGTTCAAAATCCAAGTGCGGGTTTCTTTTGTTGGATTTCTTATTTCTGTGAATAAATATAATTAAAACAGACTCTAGAACACAATTGCATCCGCTGTAGCACTGGCTAATTCACAATTGCTTTGAATCTGGGTTCGAATCCCAGCTGCTGAAAATTTTTTTTTGTATTTACTTATTTCGGTAAATTGATTAGATAATACTCGAAACAGACTACGGAACACAATTTCTTTTGTTGTAGCCCTTCTGGGCGTAATTTAGTTATTTGTATGTAAATTAATAGCAGACCATAAAGCTGCCTAATTCTTAATTAACTTTTTTCTTTGTTTTGGTAATTTTTTTTTTTTTTTTATGAATGCGACTAGCTCTATTATAATGTAGTATCTGTTCATATATTTTTTTAACCTACTAAAACACAAAGAACCAATAACGACCTTCCAAATGGAAGTCCAACCCGGGTACCATTAGATCATAAAGCAAACCATGAAGCATAATCCGTTCAGATGTAGCACTAGATACTTCTTAGTTAATTCGAGTCTGGGTTTGAACTCTAGCAACGATCGAAAATTTGTAATTTTTTAGACTTAAAATTTTTGAAATTTAGTTATTCGCGTATACATTAAAGAGAGCTGCTATATTATACAATTTAAACTTTTTTTAGAAGGATATTGTATATATAGTGATGCATATCCCCTTCTTTTTTAAAGAGTTAATACCCAAAATAGTCCATCGACTATGTCGTAATTACCAATTTAGTCCTCGACTATTATTCTTACCCAATTAAGTCCTTAACTATACAATTTTTACCCAATTTAGTCCTTTGTCAATTTGACTGTTTGTTGACTGTCAAAAGTGGAAATAAAGTTGTAATTTTACAAGTTTTCTCATTCCTCCTCATTTAGTAGCGCCAAACCATGTAGCAATAAGCTCCGGTTGGGTTCTAAACCTGTCAGTATCGAAGTAGTGGTTATGCATCGGATAGCCCATGAATTTGATTTCCAACGATTTTTTGACGATCGAAATCTGATCGGAGTGTATTGCTGCATGGTTTGGCGCTGCTAAATGGAGAGGAAGGAGAAATCTTGTAAAATTATAATTTTATCACGACTTTTGACAGTCAACAAACAGTCAAATTAATACAGAGGACTAAATTGGGTAAGAATTGTATAGTTGAGGACTAAATTGGGTAAGAATTGTATAGTTGAGGACTTAATTGGATAAGAATGGTAGTTGAGGACCAAATTAGTAATTATGGCATAGTTGAGGGACCATTTTGGGTATTAACTCTTTTTTAAATGTGGGACAAGTACTTGTTTCAAGTCTTTCCACTCTCATTTTTTAACTCAAATGAGTCTACTCTAACAATTAGTTTTTCATTTACTTATTATCCATTTTAAGTATATAATATATCGATCTTTTCGTCTCACTACGAAGAACCCGAATCTGATCCACCCTGACCCAATCCAAATTAAAAGTGAATCACACATATATTTGTACTACAAAATAACCACTTACAATATCATCTTATGCTATGTTTTCCAACAGACTATGCAATATATATAGTTACCAGCTCAGATCAGCACAAACTTGTTTATTTGTAGCAACTAGCCCTCCAAGACTTGTATAAAAGGTCTAACTCTATTTATAACCCTCTTTACCATATTCCTATTATGTCTTACTAGTAATTCACCCGCGCGATGCACGAAAAAAAATTATGTTATTATAAATATAAATAAAAAATAGAAAAACTAAAATATTTTAAATTATTTAATATAATAATATTTTTGACCTTCTATTGGTCAAGTATTTATTATTTTTATAGAATACAAAATTACAATTAAAATTAAAATTAAAATTATAATTTTGTATGGTTAATATAATCTCTAATTATGTGCATATTCAAATAAACTTATAGAGATAATTTACATAATTACATTGATTTATTCTTAATTGTATTTCATCTATATTATAGTTTTCACAATACAAATAATAACTAAGATATTTACATTTGGAAAGCAAATTTCAAATTTTGTATGTGTAAATTTAAACTATAATTGAACACATTTTTATATGATTACTAGTTTTTTACGCGCATTGCGCGATTGAGATAATGCCCAAATGTTTTTTTTTTTAAATAAGTACCATAAAGTATATCAAGGTAACTACTTTAGGTCATTTTACATGTTAATCTAAACAGTTAATTTTTTGAAATATCTTTTTACCAACCGTTGATATAATTCGCTGGTCAAATCCGCTGATGTAATCCGTTAACGCTAAACGCTAATTTCTAATTGTCAAACAAGGACATTGCGAGGTAGTTCTCACTTCAATTTGTTGTGTGATTTTAATACTCTCTTTGTCAATAAATCCCTCAAGTAGTTAATATGATTGGCTTTATTAATTTTATTTTTTTTATTTTTTTTATATATTTAAGTACTATAAAATATATCAATGCAAGATTATATTAGAATTATTCATGCATAGATAATTAAATGTTGAATTTGCGTATTTAAATAGGTAATTCTAAGTTTACAAATGCAAGATAATATAGTCAAGATTAATTATAATTGGAAGAAGATTAATTATAATTGTCAATAAAATAGTTGTATGCGTATGGTTGAAACCAAATACGGGAAATAAGGGAGAGCAAATAAAAATTAGCGCATAAAATATTAAATATATACTAATATTGAATGGCTAACTGCTGATTGCTAAAACATGACATTGCAAGATAGTTTCCCACCTCAATTTGTTGTGTGACTTGAATACTCTTTTTGTCAATAAATCCCCAAGTAGTTAATATGATTGGCTTAATTATACTTTTTTTTTTAAAATTTTGTTATAACAATTATTATTATTATTATTATTATTATTATTATTATTATTATTATTATTATTATTATGAAATATATGTATACCCTTAGGTCATTTTACATGTTAATCTAAACGGCTAATTTTTTCAAATATCTTTTTACCAACCGTTAATATAATTCGTTGGTCAAATTCGCTAACGTTATCCGCTAACTGCTGATTATCAAACAAGGACATTGCGATGTATTGCTCACTTCAATTTGTTGTGTGATTTGAATACTCTCTTTGTCAACAAATCTCTCAAGTAGTTAATATGACTGGCTTTATTAATTATGTTTTTTAAAATTTTTAATTTTTTCATGGTATTAATAAAATATTTGGTAAATAAATATATAGCATTATTTGGTATTATAACTTTGATATTTAATTAAAAAATAGTGCACAAAAAAAGATAATAGCCAATGTAGTGAATATAATTAATTGATTAATTTGAATGTAAAGAATTTTTACATTGGAAAAAAATAAAGACAATATAACTAATGAAATTATTTCTCATATTTAATTTATTTTGATAATGAATAATTTTTTTGAATAAAGACATAGTACACACATAATTCTAAATTAAAGAAATGCATATGTATTATTTATTGTTGTATCTACTAAATTATTAATAATTTAATTTAATAAAAGTAAATTAGAGTACTAATTATGCCAACTTTAATTTGATTGGGATGGGGTTCGAACCTGAGACCTTTCTTATTAAAATCAATGAGTAAGTTAACGGTGAACTAACAGAAACTAACCGAAAAGATAATATTTAACGGAAAAGTTAACGGATAATCATATTCATTAAGGATAAATTAGGAAATCTCAAGGAAAAATTAAAATCTGATCAATTTGAACCATTTATTTGATTAAAAAACTTGACCGCCATTTTTTCTACCCATTATAGGCCTAACTCTCTTGGGCTCTTATTAGTATATACTAGTTTTTTACGCGCATTGCGCGATTGGGATAATGCCCAATGGTTTTTTTTTTTAAATAAGTACTTTAAAGTATATTAAGGCAAGATTATATTGAAATTGTTCATGTATAGATAATTGAAGGTTGAATTTGCGTATTTAAATAGGTAATTCTTCTCCCAAAGGTTGAGTCCCCTACCCCAAGGGCCCCCCACACTCTGACCCGACAAAGCATTGTAGGAAGTTGTAAATCACGGTGACTCAATGGTTTAGCAAACAGGACCAAATGCCGGTGCGAACAAGGAATCTGCCCACTTTGGACATAATTCCCGCACTGCCGCCGCCGAGGTTCTTCTCCCAAATACTGCCCACTAAACCATTGAGCTAAGCCCGTGCGGGTTAAATAGGTAATTCTAAGTTTACAAATGCAAGATAATATAGTCAAGATTGATTATAATTGTCAATAAAATAATTGTATAGGTATGGTTGAAACCAAATACGGGACATAAGGGAGAACAAATAAAAATTATGGCATAAAATATTAAATATATACTAATATTGTTTGAGGAGATTTCGACATTAGGATTTGTGGTTAAGTTCCATTAAGACTTTAATATTAGAATTAGATTAATGGTGTAATTATAATTCTATATTAGACGTTAATATTATAATTAGACTAACGGTGAATTAACGGTATTTAACGAAAAAGTTAAATGGATAATCATATAAT